CTTGGCTACGAAAGCAGCGACGACATTTTTTGTTTTTATTAAGTTCAAGTCATCGCCTTGAAGTTGGAGATTCATATCATTAAGCAGTGTATAAAGGTCTGTCAGGTATGCGATATCATTCTTTGATGTGATGAGGTTTTCGCACAATTCTGTGTCTTTGTTTTCCAAGAACTCTATGACAGAGTCAAACAGATTGTAAAAACGAGTCAGACAATTTCCTTTTGATAGCCAACGCACTTCTGTGTGAAAGATCAATCTGTTGAAATCTTCATCATTATCAACACAAAGCTGATTAAATAATCTGTCATTTAAAGAGTTGTTTCGGATTTTATTGACTGCTCTGATGACATGTTGCAATGATTGAAATATTCGTTCACTTAAATTTCTAGCAACTAAATGTTGTCGATGTATAACGCAATGTACAGCAAGCACATCAGGAATTTTCTTTTTTAAGTACGATATGAAGCCTTTTTGACACCCCATCATAGCTGGAGCACCATCTGTAGCAGCTGATATAATATTCTTCAACGGAATTCCTTTTTCATTACAAAACTTTTCCAGTGTTTCAAATATAGTTTCTCCTTTCGAGTCTGTCTCTAAATTTCTAGCAAATAAAAGTTCTTGACATATTTTTTCATCTTTAATAAATCTCACGTAAGACAACAACAATGCTTCATTAGTTGGTAAAGTGAACTCATCCAACTGAATTGAAAATTTACTAGTCTTCAGATAGATCATTGCACAATGACTTTTCAATGTTTTCAGCCATTTCATCAATTCGTCTTTGGACAGAACTATTGCTCAAAGGAATTTTTCGAATTATATCTGCCGCCGGTTTATGGAGCACAGTAGTTATAACTTCTTTTATCGCAGGCAAAATTAACTTTTCTCCGATGGTGTGTGGTTTACCTGTTTGAGCAATTAACAAAGAGGTATTGTATGAAGCTCGAAGTCCGTCATCGTCTTGCTTAACAGCCATCGAAAGAAGTTTCGATACACTTGGCTGAGCATTATGCTTCTTTTCCAGATCTTGAAAATAGGCTAAATTTTTGTCCTTCTCATCCGGATGCATTTTATTCAAATGATCTTGAAGTCTTGAAGGCTTCATCGCTTCGTTCTGGTGCAATGTAATTAAGGTAAAATTGCTCTAATTTTTTAACTATCATTGATCATGTTCCTTTATATATCCGCAGAAACTTGTTACAACTTGATTGAGTACGGTGTGCGGGCTATCCTACGAAATCTATGTTAAGTATTTTAAGTTTTTATAACATCATACAGAGTAGAAATATAAACTAATTATTCGTTATTGTGTAGTAGGTGGGTTTTAATTTTAGTGAAATTTAAAATACTATATAAAGTAAATGAAATTACAAATTATACATCACCCCCCCAACCCACATCAACGCCCCCCATTTTTTCTGGGCCACTTAACGCCCCCCTCTAGGTTTCAAACGCGCCCAAGGGGGCGTTATAGCCCACTTTGAGAAAGACTGCTATAGAGGATCTCACGAAGTTCTGAGGCCATTGGCACCATACCCAGTTGTAAAACATATGTTCTAAGGGCTGGGCACTCGAGAATGTGATCCGGGGTAAGTTGGATATCGGTGCCGTTCTTGTAGGGAATATATGTTCTTATTTTGTCTGGAAGAATTTTCATCACTTTAAAGTGGTTTGTTCTTAGTCTTGTAATTGTTGATGTTAAGATTCTGGAACAATCAAAGTCAGTAATGAGGGGTTTCCTGAAGGAATGGGGCAGAAGTCTGCATCTTGCAACTGCAGATGGAAAAGGTGGGTTGCCAGAGCCTCGAAAGGTTGGACTTCTACCTTTTGGTCCGCGGAAGGTATTTTAGATTCTCTTCTTCCATTTTGAAATAAACTCTGCATCCGAGAAGGTGAAACGAACCAAGTGCCAACTTCTGTTGACTGAACTTTTTTTATACACGCACCAAGATCTGTGTAAAGCAAAACTGGATGGGAAAAGGCAACATGACTGACTCATGACCAGGGAGCCTGGAAGAAAGAGACTTGAGGCCTTATGTGTCAGCTGGCGTGAATAAGATAGGTAAGTAAATATTCAAATAAAAAAGCTCCAACAAGCCAAAACGAATTGGTAGGTATTCAATTACTGTTGAGACATTTGGTCGTATTTTTTTGTGTTTCAGTGATCAGAATTGGCCTTTAGATTGTGTCATTTAACGCTATTGGATTTCTTTCCATGGGGTTGTTTTAAGTCAAAGCTCTATGTCAACAAGACCATAACAACCTGTGCATTGAAGGAGAGGATTCAACGCTGCATCAATAAAGTTTATCCCTATCTATGCAAAATGGTCATGGAAAATTATATCAAAAGAATGCGTATGTCGGGTTTTTTTCATTAAGAAAGGAAAATTAATAGCACCTTTCTTTTCTTTTGGTTATTATTAATTACATACTTCATTGATTTACAAGAATTCATTAGTTACGATATTACTGCACGATACGATATTCGATAATTACATTTCAAATTCATATTCTACGAATAAGGCTTCCTTGAAATAGAATGAAAGCAACAGTTGCTAACATGCAGAAATGCCATGGTTCAAAAGCCAATCCAGATTGATACCCAAGATGACGTCGCTTGCCGGTATCCAATTATTTAACACTACTTAAATTATTACTTATGACAACTTAGCAACATGACATAGCCGTTTTTCAAATAAGCTTTTAACCCATATTTAACCTCCTTAGGGATAAAATATCAAAGAATCATTCCTTAGTGGGTGCCTACGTCATAAAAGGCATCACTCTCCAAATTTCATGTTTTTAGCTGCAGTAGATGAATCAATGTGCGATGATGAATCGGTCAGTCAAGATAAGTCTTTATACATGCGTAGATAATTTTTTATGTTAAGAATATAAAATTAGATACTCATTCAGATATTTGGCTAGCAAAAATAATTTTTTTCCAAGAAATTCATTGAAAGAAATTAATAGGAACATTAAAGCAATCAATGAAATAATGAANCATGGTGTTGCATTTTCTACAAACAGCAGTTTACATGCGTAGATAATTTTTTATGTTAGGAATATAAAATTAGATACTCATTAAGATATTTGGCTAGCAAAAATAATTTTTTTCCAAGAAATTCATTGAAAGAAATTAATAGGAACATTAAAGCAATCAATGAAATAATGAATAAATCATCACTACTTAAATGAATTATTTTATATGTTTTTTATAAATTTAATTAAATTAAAATTTTAAGTAAGGCCAAATAAATTAAACAGCATGATCCCAAACTCCATCTGAGCAATTCCTTTTTATGCCTTATTATGTTTACTAAATTTTGAATGAATCTTCTTTTTTAAAGAAAAATTTATTACGATCAAATTATTAAAATTTATCTGCAGTGTTTTTGTAAAATGGACTGACTTAAATATCACTTTTATCGGTTTGAATGGACCCATATGATTGAGGCGTTGCTTGGAATATTTGAGAATTTTGAAAAATTACAAAAAGACGTTTTTATAATGTCAAGTTACAAATCCCATTTTGATTTTTGATTAAAAATTATCAGAATATTTCATTTAAAACAAACTTTATATTAGTAAAATTCTAATTCCCATTTCATATAAAATGCAGAATTGTTTTAATCAAATTCGGACAATTGTAAATTAAGTATTCTTTATAGGAAAAAAATATCTAATAAGTCTGGGTTTTATAAAATCTGCTTTTTTCATTCCTTTAAGACTATCATTTATTTTTGTCTAAAATAGTTAGAGTTTTCTATAAATAATAGATGAATTTACAGAATAATAGATGAATTTACAGAATAATAGATGAATTTACAACAAGTTCTTGAAAATTTATTAGGTAAATAATCTGGCTGCAATAATTTTGTTATAATTTTTTTTATTTATATAGTTAGCATTAAAAGTTGTAAAACTAATAAAATTCATTTTAATAAAAGAAGTTATGCATTCGAAATGCTTTATGCAACTAGTTTATGCCAAATCGCATGTATAAAAAAACCCAACGTAATAAATTATTCGAAATCTCTGTTTTCAAGTAAACATGAGATTTTGAATAAAATTAATATTTGATATGTATTGTATATATTTTGGAGATGAGAAGCTCATAAACTTAGCTTGAAACACTTAGTAAAACAAAGAAAAATAAAATTATTTAAACTAATCTCACATATTTTTAAAAATTGTTGTGAATAAAAACACATTCTTATTTAATTAAAAGCATAAGCATAAGAACAATATAATTCCTTTAAATCCAAAACCATTCCTTTTGAGAATAAGTGTGAAAATAATGTCTTTGGTGAAAAAAAAATTCTGCTTAATACTTCATTTGTTTTATTACTAATTCATTGTTTAAAGTTAAAAACAGAAAAAGATTTTTCTCCTTTCTATTTATCATCATATCTAGTCCAAAAATCATTATTTCAGTAAGTCTAATTTTAATTTTAAGTTCCAATATTGTTTTTAACTTCTACGTTATTTTCTCAAGAAATTGTTCTTTACTTAGCAAACATAATTCATTCTTTTTCTTGGAGCAAGTTTTTGATCCCTAGGGAATTTAACAATATTAAAATTAAGTTAATGAAAACTGTGCCAGATTTGGATAAGTAAAAATAACATCGTTGGGAGCACATGTTTTAGTTTATGTTCCACATTATGTCTTATTCTTTACGTTTGTTCGTGAAGAAAATTTAATTATTTTTGTGACATAAATCTTCTAAGAAAATATTTTCTTCTGAGATTCAGCGATAATTCTCAAATTCAGTTTATAAACAAGAAAATAAATATCATAGTGATATTTACTTGATCAAGCATGTTCGATTCTTATTTATTTTAAGAAATGTAATATTTCAAATTGTACTTTAAAAATTCTGCTACGAAGATACCAACCGTTACTATTTCCATAAACTCTTCATTTCGCATTTGACAGGAACAAAATAAGTTTATAAGCAATGTTAAATGATTAGCAACATTTTAAATATAATATGTCTTATATTACTTGAAGAACACAGAGAAAAAAATTGTGGTAAAATTACCGTACAGTATGTTAAGGACTTTTATAGGACATTTAATCATAATTCTGGTAAATAAAACCAAAATATGCGATATTTAAGCCATTCATTTGGTACTTTTTATGTTTATATGGTAATAATTCGTCGGAAACTGTAGTTTTCAAAATTGTATTTCTTATTACTACAAATTTAGTAAAAAATAGAAAACTAAAAAGTAAATTTAATCGAATAAATCGTTTTTATCCCATGCTCTATGGTGATAAAATTACCTAATTTTACCACATTATCCAAATTTTTTTTCTCGTATTATAAAGCACTTTCACATTTCATTGCACCAACCTCATTACCAAATTGTTTCAGTAAAAATTTCCGTTATTTTTGGTGTTTCCATAGAGTCAGGAACACAGCAAATTTTATCATATTCTGGTAGTTTTGACCAAACTTTCTTTCTCAGTGATGCGTTAACCTAATTAATATTATTGACATTATTTTAGCATTATAATACATATTACTACAAAAAATAATATGAAAAACGTCTTCCAAAAACAATGAATAATTTTTCTGAATATTTTCAGTGAAACTCCTAAACATATTTGGAGTTTTATTACCGAATCAAGACGAAGTGCATATCTAAACATAATGTTAATATATTTTTTGACGTATAAAAAAGTCATGTAATTAAAATGTAAATAGTTTTTCCATCTGGAACCTTATTAATAAAATAGCATTAGTTTTAAAAGAAATTCTAAACTCACCAAATAAAAATTATTTTACCAAAAATATTTAATCCTAAACCACACATAAATGCGTCAAAGACAATTTGAGTTGGAGAACGTGAAATCGGCCGTAATTTCAAATATTTGAAAAAAAAAAAACCTCTACTATTATTTCGCGGCATTGCATAATTGGGTATAATATGAAAAAAGCACAACTACTTCCACTTACTAGGAATAACATTTACCTTTTAGTTTAATTAATAAACTGAGTTTTAAATATGTTTACTAAATTCATAAACTTCGGTTAAAGAACAATATAAATTATTTCCAAAGGAACTAGACTAATACAATTCCAACCTGGCGTGTAG